GCATTCACACAGCTGCCTTGAGTTCCCCACTATGCCATGTCGTCGTGTTGTGTGGCTTTGCTGACAATCAGTGTGATCATCTGACCTACATGGAGGGGCGGCTGAGCCCTCTGCTGTGTATTGGTCCGTGGTGTTTTCACCAAGAGAGAGAGGGAAGGGAGAAGCTGTGGTGTCCACAAGACACAAGTCTTACACACATCACGACACACATGGTGCAATCAGTTAATTTTTCCATGATGCCGAACTGACTTGGCAGAGTTATCTGTCTTCTGACTTGACAGGGTTATTTGTCTCGCTGTCTTTCTCCTGGTGCATTCGTCTCTGTCTGCCAAGTCCACACACGGCACACATGTGCTTTTCTCTATTCGTTCTGTGGCACTCACTTGCGGTCAATCAGTCAAGTCAGTCAGGCGGCTGTGTGCGTATTGCGTTGTGTTTCGGTGTTTGCATGTGCCGCCGAAAAAGGGGCGCGCTGCAATCCAAGCCGATCTCTCACGATGTACGTGCAGCTAGGCTGGCCAGGGACGGGAGGGGGGGCAATCAATCCGTGCACTCTGTCAGCGAGCGATCCATCCGTCATCACTCGATTGCTGCATGCGATGGATGGGTGGGTGGCTGGGTGGGTGACTCTGTCTGCATGTCTTATATATTCTGGCGTACGTGTGCACCGGGCCGGATGCATGGGACCACATTGGGGGGGCCGGGTGGGCTGGCACGTGCGTGGCATGGGCGAGAGCAAGAGGATCGAGTACATGGCATGTGTGGGCATGGGTGTCGCGTGTGGGTGTCGGTCGACTGGCTGGGCAGTCAGCGAGGCTCCTAAACAGGGAGTGGCTGACGTACCCGCAGGCCGGCAGACACACACACACACACAGAGACATGCATGATGGAACAGATGGATGGATGGCAGGTGTGAGAGGAACGCACGTGACGATGGGTGTTTCATTGCGTCGATGTCCGGAAGAACGTTCTTAGCAATGAGTTGAACAACACACACATGGAGCAACCACTGCACAGGTAGACTGTCCGGTGCTCGTTCGTCCGTTTGACAAACCAAAACACGCCACAAAACGCTCAGCAGACAGATGGCCAGCACGCTGCGCTACAGCTGGGCGGCCAGCTTCATCTGCATGCACACGTACGCACCTGCCCATCTACTGAGCCATCCGTCTCCACACAAACAAGCAAACAAACACGCGTCAAGGCCTGCAGCGACACCGAGAAGTTTTCTCAAAGATCCGTCTACACATTCTGTGAGGAAGCGAGAGACATGTCTCCTCACCTTGTGAATCTCGAGTTATAATAACTGCTTTTCGACAGCGAGGTCATGTACAGACATACTACAGAATCGCTCAATTTGATGTATACACACCCACCCGGTTTCTGTAGTATGCCCCTTTCTTGTAGAGGAGAGAGAACAACTGCGTCATCGGATGAGTGTCTCACATGACGCAGACACCACCCAACAAAGGCAACGGCTTCGCTGTTCACGAAAGTCACATTGGTTTAAGGGCAGCAGACGACAGGACAGAAGGCAACCCGCCCCACCCGGTGTGCAAGTGCCCGAGTGCCCAGCAGAGACGGGGCCGAGAAGTAGTCAGTCAGTCAATCAGTCAGTCCTTCAGTCATCAGGCAAAATTCCTGTGTGTCCCACCGGGCTGCGTGTATGTTGTCTCCTGTGGCTGATCCACTCAGCCAGGCAAACTTGTGATGAAGCAGAGAGGAAGGCGTGAATCTGAAATAAGCTTAATGGGCGGAAGACAGACGTCGATCCTCAGCCTTTGCTCCGTTTGCGCTTTGCTTCTTTCAACACTGCCGGCTCTCGCGCCACACATTCAAGCCCTTTCACGATATGTATATATCACTGGTCTCACGTCTCACTGTCTAATCACTGTGTCTCTTGGCCACTGTGTCTCTTGGTTTGGGTCCCGCGAAAGTCCCACAAACATTCAGGCGATCAGCCAGCGAGCCTCACTGTGTTGCCGACAGCCACACCAGCCACACCAGCCACACTAAGCACCATTTTCCATACACAGCACACGGGCGAGTCACTATCGATCCCTACGACCTGCTTCATGAATATACAAGACAGTTAGTAGCTTACTAGTCGGGCGGGCGACGAAAAACAGGCTCTCAGCTAGACACACAAATACAGATCAGACAGCGGGCCGACATGTGAGAGCACAACAAGCAGGACAACAACACCCATCAGTACCCTCAATGCCATTAATTGCATCCACATGACACGGTACTCGAGTCACATCAAAGGCACCCTCTCCCCCATCAGCGTAGGGGAGGACCAGAATGAAGGCATCGAGAGGTGACAGAAGCAACGCCACCGCACAGACGAAAAAGAGCACAGCAACCATATCACATCAGCGACGAAAAAGAGCACAGCAGCGTGTGCCACACAACACCTCGACAGGGACAAAAAATGCTCTTGCCACTCAGCCAATCCCAGCTTAAGCCACAGGCACACCCGACGAATGAAGGTTAGAAGAATGTATACATGGATGCACGGAAACACCCAAGGCAAAGGAAACAAAGCCAGACACGCGCGTGGTCGGGCGGCAGAAACAGCGCCCTCACTACCGTCCCTCATGGATGCAGACAAGACATCCACGCATCGAAAGTGCGTACATCCACAAGTGGGGGCGCATCATTTTGGCGCGGCAGCACTCGAACGAATTGCACGCACTCTCAAGTAGACTGAAACATTGCCACCCAAACGTCCCGTCACCAGCACCACCATGCCATGCCAGCTGAATGAGTGAATGAGTGAATGAGTGGCCGTGGTAAAAACAATTGCTGTGTGAAAGGTAATAGATAGCCATACACTCTCTCCCTCCCGGCTATGCCACCATGACAACACGAGACAGTCAATATGACTCAGCGCAGATCGACACATCCGATATGCATGCATGCTGCCGATGACCCACATCGACAGGCTCTTGCCCACTCGCCCATGTGCAGACAGTCTCCGCAGCATGCACACACACAGCATCAAGACAAACGAAGAAACGAAAAAAGCCATCCTATCCCGCGTACACATACACGCTCGTGAATCATTATAAACCCAACACATCCCCACACACACAGCATCAATTAGTCACTCACTGTATTTGTGTGCGCACGGCGGGCCGACCAGTCAGTCGCTCTTCTTTGAGCCGACTAACTTATCAATCAAACCCACCTACCGCCCTACTCTCTCATGGGTGATGCCTGTATGTGAGTGCCAGCCTAGCAGTCGTACACAGCTATGAAAACCTCGCCGTCGTCCCAAAGCTCTAGGCAAGCATAGCCACAAATTTCGATCACGCCGACAGAATAGCACCAGCTGATCGAAGAGGAAGCAAAAGCACACACCATACCATCACACGCGCTGCGCTTGATGCCTGCCATTCCATGTCGAGACAAGATGCTTACCAATCCGTGCAGACTTCTTCCAGTAAGTACGCTTCCTGGGTCGCCAGCTCATCACCACGCGAATGAGCAGCGCAACGCTTCATCGGCTTATCACCACCCTGCACATACGCAAAGGGACATCACCCGCGTGCATCATGTGCATGAGTGCATCCACACATGAGTGTGCGGAGTGTGCGTGGGCTCCTGCGCGCCTGCGTGTGTGTTACCTTTTCTTTTTTCTTCATCTTGCTCGCGGGGAGGGTGGCGTTGACGACGCTGTTTGGCCCTGCCACGAAGATGTCATTGATGTTGAGTTTTTTGAAGTCCGCGAATGGGGTGCTGAAGGCGGGCTTCGTGCACTGGGCCGGCGCAGGCTCATCAGCTGCACGCACGAGTGCATGAACATCACAGCAAGCAGACATATGATGACGTGTAAGCGCAGCGTACCAGGCTTTTCCCCAAGCTTCCGCACAAAGTCGCACGAGGCGACGCCAGCGAGAGCGACGAGTACAACCAGGCCGAGCACACGGACCATCATCGTGTTGTTGGTGACTGCGAGGCAGAGCAAGAGTGGAGAGCAACGTCGAAAAGACAACCAACCAGCGAAAAGCGATGAAGAAGATGGAATCTCTTTCCGATGAGCTCTTCCAGCCTCGGTGTTAACGTGTGCGTTAGCGCCTGAGCATTGACCCCCCATGTGCTCGTACACTTGCGTTAGCGGCGTACGCTTGAAACAAAAAGCTCGCTCTAGTAAACTTGTACGTAAACGGAATCCATTAGAATTCTCTGGGTGCTCTGCGAACAGCAAGTGACCCTGGCGGACAAACACGAGCTGGCATGCAAATCACCATCGAGAACGGTTCATCTCAGAACACGACAATCAAAATGTCTGTATTTCTCCATGGGTCTCTTTGGGAAGGTGACCCGGTTATCCGACCCGTTCGTGACTGTGTGCAGAGTGATTCAGCCGAGTTGACCCACATACGCAACTGATTCGTTTATGCGGTGACCCATTTACCCGCTTGACAAACCAAAACACGCCACAAAACGCCCAGCAGACGGATGGCCAGCACGCTGCGCTACAGCTGGGCGGCCGGCCCCATTTGCATGCACACGTACGCACCTGCCCATGCATCTACTCATGATGTCCGTCCGCATGCGAAGAAAGGGACGAACACGCTCCCGTTCGTCGATCGATCCACCCGCCATCCCATTCTCTCTCCCTGTACACTTTTGTCCGTCCGTCTGTCCGCCTGCGTTTCTAGTCCTTGTCCGTGCCGTTGAGCACAGGCCGGTCGGCCTCTGCAGCACCACTAGCAGCAGCAGAAGCAGCAGCAGCAGCAGCAGACTCCGACGGCGATGTGCTCGGCGCATTGGTGGCCTGAATGGTCAACAGAAGCATTGCCTGCCTGCCTTGTCAGTCAGTGAGTGCTTGCGCACATCCACCCATACCTGCTGCTGTGTCTGCTGTGTCTGGGTGGTCAGGTGTGTGAGGAGCGATGCTTGCAGGTAAGGAGGCTGGGGGATGTTGGCCGCAGAGCCGTTGGCGGCACCTGATACATGCCATGCGTGAGATAGGGATCAATCGACACACCCATTCGACTCCTCGCCTCCCTCCCTCCCTCCCCACCAACAAAGGCGAAGTGCACCATAGCACCGGGGACCAGACCCTGCAGACAGAGATACCCAAGACAAATGATCCCCTGCGCTGGGTGTCTCCCTTTCTGCCGGACAGCTATGCGCACCTCGTCGTGGAGCGTCCTTCTAGCTGTGAATTTGCGCATCGGTGGGGTCTCGTAGATGTACCACGGCAGATCCCTGCACTCCTCACGTAACAGCTGAACACAGACACAATCGTGGGAGCGTCCATCCATCCATCCATCCGTCCATCCACCCAGTTGCAATGTGTGTGTGTACCTGCTTGATCTGCTGCTGCACGTGTGCGATGGTGTCGACGGGGCGGAAGTGCAGCTGCAGCACCAGCTTGTCGGGGAACAACACACGCAGTATGCACTGCATCAGCCACACACACGCACACGACACACACGTGTGCATCAATCAGGTGAGCAGAGGGTCACTCAGTCAGTCGCTCAACATGCACTTGCCTGTCTGTGGACTTTCTGCTTGCTCAGTTTGGCCAGCTCCTGCTTGGCACGCGACTTGAACTGCGGACCGTCACCCATACTCTAACAACTCACACACACAGAGACACACACACACAGTGATGTCAAAGCGCAGCCTGTGAAGCGCTCGCAGACCTCCTTGATTTTGGCGATATCCGACTGGGCCACGCCGGCCTCCCCTGGGTTGGTTTCCTCCTGCTCACGCTCCTGCTGCACCGCACTCAATGCATCCTCCAAACGACCCATACCTGCACACACCACACCAACACACACAGAGAAAGATGAACAGTGTGGGTGTCGGTGGTGTGGCGATCTTGTTTGTGTACGCGAGAGGTGGAAGGCCACAGGCCTCAGCTCCACTGTGTCGCCTTCGCCGCCACGCTGACGGAGGCACAGAGGCACACACACACACACACACACACACACATGGGCCACTAGCTAGTGTGGCGTGGGCTTCGGGTGGCTCAGTTACGCGTATGTCCTCTTTCTTTTGCTTGAGCTCAGCGCGTATCTGGTCGACCTCGTGAAACCGCTTCTCGGCCAGCTTGCCCTGCACCCGACTGCACGGCACCCAGCAACACAAAGGCACGACACACCCACACATCCATCCATCCATCCCGCCCCGCCTCCCTCTTGCCTGAACTCAGCCGTGGTAGAGGTGATGCTCGACTGATAGGGGTTGAACCTGACGCACGTGTGTGTGTGTTCGTATGTGTGTTGTCTATGGCGCGTGTGTGGGTGTGGGCAGCGCACTCACGCACTTACATGATGTGTTTGTCAGCCGGTGTGGGGTTGGGTATGGGCGGAACCGTCACGCCCGCCTCGCGGCCCAGCTCGGTCAACGCACCGTGCGCATCAGTCAGCCTGCAGCAACCATACCAAACACGGCACACCTGCCAATGTGGCTATGGCGCATGGCGTGACTGCCTGGCTGACCGTGAGAGGTACGCCACAGGCAGGATCAGGTGCTCGCCGACGTCCTGGAAACCGACCTGGTTGGTGACACAAATCAATTGCACACAGATGGCGCACATCCACGACAGACAGACGCTCCTACCGATTGAAGGAAGGCCACCCCTGCAGCGAACTGGCCCACTTTGGCTTGGAAATTCTCATTCTCCTGAGTGGGTGGTGAGGCCACCAACACACACACCCAACACTCAGACAGGCTATGCTGTGAATGAGTGCATTGCCACTTCATTTCGCCCCACGCGTACGCACCTTTCGTATTTTGCGTTTGCTCTCGTTTGTGGGGCTCGCGAGCACTCCGTTGAGCAGCCGGCCGAGCGTGATCAACACGCCTGGCATCTTGTCGACGGGAACCTGATAGTGGACACCCACCCGGCTGGCCATGTGACGACTCTCGGAGTCACTCTATCCATCCTGACTGCCCCTCTTACCTCCTGTTTGATTTTCTCGGTGGCGGAGAGGATGGGCAGGGGGAACTTGACCTCCTCCGGTGGCGCAAACTCAACTAACACACACAACACCAGAAAACGCGAAAACAGAACATCAAAACAGCCCAACACAACTGTGCGTGCCGGCCGGCTGACGAACCATCGCCCCTCTCTTCTCCTGGTTTACTCCTCTCTCTGTCCCTCTCTGTGTGAGTGACTGACCAGTGGTGAGCCTCTCGACATCGCTGCCCTCCATCTCCCGGTCCTCGTTGCTGTTGAACTCCTTGACCGAGCTCACGCTGTCCCCACACGTGGCCGCCACTGACGGGATTGACGGCATCGACAGCGGCAGACCCAAACCGGCAGGCGGACTCAGCGCGTTGGCACTGGCCATGGCGCCGGGCTGAGGCACAGAGGAGGAGGGGTCGACGTCCATCATGGCTGATGGTGAGGGTGCCACTGGGTGGTGGACGGGCGGGATGGAAAGGTGCTGGTGTTGGGGTGCGAGTAGCGCTAGCTTGGCTTTGATGATGTCGATGAGGCGGCCGGGGAGCTGCATCGTCTGCCACTGCACGTCGCTCACCTCCTGCAGAGACTCTGAGTGAACAGTCACAGTCACACCCGACACGTGTGTGGTTGGTGGTCAATAGATGGCAGCCATATATGTGTGTGTGAATGGTTCGGTGATTGGCTTACCAATGGTCTCGTACCAGTTGTCGACAACCACCCTGCACACGACACAAACACACGCAGCAACCAACACGCGACCGGCTGTGGATCTTTCTTTGACTGCCGCTCGTTCGTCGCTTGCTCACTTTTGTATGATGCCCTGCATCTGTTCTGGCGTCCGATTGAGCTCCTTGCCCACCTCTATCAAAAACTCGCCAGCCTGCATCAATGGCAGACAGGCAGACAGACAAACAGACAGATCACGATGAGATCACAATGACCTTGCGCATGTGACGATTCTCACCTCTGTGTCAGCCATGGCGCGCCAACAATGCTCAAAAAACCGCTTGTTTGTTCGGCAAAGCTCGCAAATTTCCTCGAACCGCTCTCTTCCCCTCCTCAAGTGGAGAATGAGGGGAGGTGGCAGTGCAGTCGTCCATCGCTTCTATTATCCTTTGCAATTTTCCATCGCATGATCGAGTACTGCATGTATGTATGCATGGTCATGGTGGAGATTGGCCCGAAGAAGCAGGGGCATGAGCTCGACACAGGTGTGCTGCATGCTGAATGCAGGCAGGCAGGCAGGCGCTGCCATCCCTTTGGTGTCACTCACTGTCGTGTGGATGTGTGCATTGCAGAGGAGAAAGTACAATGTTTCTTCGGCCACCTGGTGCCCAAATCGAAGCTACGGTGCACACAGCACCCGCGCCGGCACACATGCTTAATATTCACTCGGCACCTGTGCTTTGTGTGTGTCTGTGTGTGTGCGCGACAGGCGGCACTACGAATACAGGTGCACGGCGTATCGGGAGATGAAGGACCAGCTCAAGTACTGCCAGTACAACGACCTTCACAGTACGTACGCATCCCCCGCCCGTCCATGATGTCCATCCATTGCAAAACGTACCCCACCTGTGTCTACGTCTGTGTCTGTGTGTGGTGCAGTGGCCTGGAATGATACTGAGATGGAGCGGCACGAGCGCACCTGCCCCGACAGAAAACCAGAGCCCGCATCCTACATCGACACCTTCCGAACCAACCACAGCAATGCGCCGTCCACCGGGGAGTGGAGCGAGTTGGGTGCGGGTGCGGGCGGGAGCAGCGGCAACAGCCGTGCGGCAGGTGGCTGTGGCGATGCGGACGACCAGAGTGAAGGTGGGTGAGACGTCCGTCCGCGTCTGCATATGCTGGCTGAGAAACGCTGTCCTCTGTGTGTTGTGTGCATTGGTTAGTTGAGGAATCGGTACACGGCCCTCCCAGCATGTACGGAGCGGCCGGCAGTGAGTACGGCTATGGGTGCGGCGGCCGTGAGAGGGTGGGGGAGGGAGGCCAACAGCCGCCCGAGGCAAGCAACACACGCACTCACTGCCCTGTTGGGATGAATGAATGGATGGATGGATGGATGGATGCGTCTGCTGTGGTGTGCCCTTGGGTGTCTGTCTCGGTGTGTGTGGTCAGGACTTCGAGGCCCGGATCACACGTCTGTGCGAGGAAGAGCGCGACCTGCGCAGGAAAATTCAGCAGGTACCTGCCATCTGGCTGGTTGGCTGGCAATTGGTGGTTTATCGATGCATGCATGAGATCACTCACTGCATGCAGATCAATGACTTGAAGCGAGATGCCGACCTGGGAGAGCTGGAGCCCAGTGTGGACGACCAGCGGCTCATTGACAGTATGCAGGCCGCACGCACACGCCAAGGGGGTGCAGGCACCTGCGTGTGTATATTTCAGGCATTGGTGACTACGAGCAGCTTCTGGCCGGTGTGGTGCGCCGCATCGAGGAGCTGCGGCTGACCCGTGGCCTCAGGGGCAGGCAGCGGGCTCACTAACAAATTGAGGCAGGCAGGCAGGCAGGCACGGAGGGAGGGAGGATTTGTATAGGGCTGTGTGACACTTTGGTTGTATAGCGAAAAGGGGTCTGTCTGTCTGTCTCGCTGGCTGCATTCATCGCATGCAGTTGCTTTCTCCATTCATGTAAATCACCATATCTGCACACAGTCGAAAACAAACTGGTTGCCCAGTCTCACACAGACCCATCACTATCTCACAACACACAGCACATGCTGTGGTGTGCTGTGTGTGTTCAGCCCGTTGAGTTGCCCGAGTTGCAGCGCACGTTCCCGCGTTTCCTCATGGCCATCGACCACCTCCTGGCACAGAGGCTGGGGCGGCTACATGTGCCCCCTAAGACCCCGGGAAGTACTACATGCAGCACCTCAAACATAGGTGGCCAATCCGGACTTAGATGTCAAATCCGACGCCCTCCTGTACGTATGCGATGTCCAGGTCGTCTGCGATGCATATCATCAGGGCCTGGTAAACCGGGGCCAAATCATCGGGACGAACAAACCCCAGCGGCTGCCGTCTCCTTGAACACTGACGGAAATCACGATGGCAATACACACACGCATATGTGGCACACTCACAGTGAAGCTGCCCATGCGTGTGCGTGTGCGTCTCTGTGTGTGTCTGTATACCTCTGTGTTGGGTCTTTGATGGCATGGTAAAGGTCTGTATAGAAGTCAACAAACGATCTGCCGTCCTTACAGTGCGTTCGGTGTGCCGAGATCAGCGTGATGAGATTGTCGATCTTAAGATGCACCGCACAGAGAGCGCTCCCCATGCCCTCATTCACCTGTGCATGTTCTCACCCTCATACCTTGAGGTCGTCCAGGTAGCTTTCCTTCTTTTAAGATGCAGTGCACAGAGAGAGTGAGGAAGGGACACACACTTGCTTATGTGCATGTGCCACGCACCTCGAGGAAAATTGAGTACAAGGGGAATGGGGAAGGCTCGCCCTCTATCACGGGCACCTACATCCAGGCATCCAGGGAGCAAGGGAGGGGGGGAGGGATTGTGCCGCAGAGGCTTTCTTGTGTGTGTGTGTGTGTGCATGTATATACCTGCAAGTCACTTGTCGTCGCATCTGTTTCATTGCCGGCCGCTGCTGACGACTGCATCAATCAATCAATCAATCACACACACACACACATGTCCGTTGGCAGCATTGAGCATCATCCACCACAGCTCCTCGTATGTCCATACATACCTGGGATGCGTTCTCGCCTTTCTGCGGCATCTGATGCAGCACCACACGCCTGTCGCTGGGTCTCGTGATGGCGCGATGTCGTGAGAGGCCAGGGCGGAGCGACAGACAGTAAGGTCTCTGGTGCGGAAAGCCGCGCGCGAGGCACGTGAGAGCGGCAAAGCAAACGAGCCCAATCCCGCTCATCATGTTTGGCTTGGCCCTCCGCTCTCCACCAGAGGGCACATGTCTAGTTGCAGCAGCAGCTGAAGCTGGGGGGTCGTGAGGCTGGTCGTATGTATGGGTGTACGGTGGTTGGCCACCAGGGGCCATATCCAGCAGCCCCTGGTGGCCATCGGACTGATGCTGATGTGTCGAGAGGGCGCGTGTGCGGTGGGCCCTGCCTCGGAAGCCAGCCGAGAATGATAGGCAAGCCACACCTGCACACAGCCAGGCAGTCAGCCAGCCAAATGGAGGAATGGAATGAGAGCAGAGCACCAACGACACAAAGTTTCTCTTCTTCTCTCTCACCAAGCAGCATCGTCCACAGCCCGCGTCCGTATTGCGTGATGCTCATGGCCCCGAAGGTGAGCTCGAGGAACAAGACGTAGCCAGCCAGCAGTATCCAGCTGGAGCATTGAAGCAACATCTGCACCCCCCAATCCGTCCACCCACCCACCCACCCACCCACCCATCCATCCATCCGTGTGTGTGGTGTCTGTCTGTCATCCACCTGTATACCTGCGGCAGCTTTTTCCACACGCCCGTGTGTGTGATGGGCTCGCTCAGCAGCGGGGCGCCAAAGCGTAACGAGAAAAAGGACAGCCCGTCCACCACGAGCACCACAAGGGCGCCCACCAGCGCCGCCAGAGACGTCCCAAAGGCAATCATGCCTCCTTTCGACAGCCAGTAGGCGTCCTCACAGATAGCGAAATCTGCAGGCAAGGCAGCCCGGAGAAGAGGGGAGGCCCTCGTCTGTGTCCTGTATCGTCTGTATGTCTTTAGACTGACCCGGGTCGAGTTTCTGCGTCCGTGCATTCCTGCAGTTGGTGTCGGCGAGGAAGGACACGTACCATTGGGACTGCCTGCCGTCGACACTTGTGAAGATGTCCCTACCGTCGATGAACAGCAACCCCGCTCTCGTGCCGCCTCCCCCCTGCACACCAACCACACAAGAACGTCCTCAACTCTTGCCCCTCTCCCTCCCTCCCTCCCTCCCTCACCGTCAGCTTCTGTGGAGCCGCCGAGGAACACACAGACGACAGCCATTGCAAAAACCACACAGACAGACGGCATGCAGGCATGCTATTCATTCGGGCTGCATGTTACCCATTCATGACTGAGCAGGGCGTACAGCGTGAGAGGCACCGCCAGGCACAGAGAGAGGATGTACCCGACAAAGTAGAACTTCCCGTTGTTGAGCTGATCTGCTTGCGACACACACGGAGAGGCAAACAGACAGGCGACAGACGGACCGTTGCAGGCTCGTCCATTCATGGCACAATTCGTGTGTGCACTTACGTCGAATGCGTCGCCACATTTCCATGGTACGTAAGCGGGCAGAGATTGCGAGCTTGAAGCCACCGCGATCTTCCTCTTTGAGGGAGAAGGAAACCCACAGCAATTCGAACACATCGCGAGCACACATTCTGTCTTGGTGCACGCCCCCGACTCCAACAACTCGATTATGCCGGCAGACTACTTTCCCATGATGGAGCAAGGAGAGGCCACCACCGACACCCTCCTGGACAGAGGACGCGCTGCACACCACCACAAGGTCTGCAGATCCACAGATGGACATTCGGACACACACACACACGCACACACCGTCTGTCGTGTGTTTGTTCATCTGCCTGTGACATGGGTGTGCAGATGGCTAAGATTATGGGTGTCATCGGTGGGTGCGCCGGTTTGCTGCTGGTGGCCTCTCTCTGCTTCCTGGGTGCCCGTCGGAATGTCATCGACACTGCAACCAAACCCATGGCAGCAATCACCCTGGTGGCCTCTCCACCGTCCGGCCAGCCTGTCAGGCCTGAGCGTGACGACGGCGTCATGCGCATCGCCCTGCACAAGAGGGAGAGCCTCAAGGACATCTACCGGCGCTATGGCGTCGCGCCTCTGCCCAGGAACCGCACCCTCAATGGTGACCTGTTGACGGCTTTCCGTGCTGGGGAGGCCGACATCGACCTGCACGATTACGAGGCAAGAGAGAGAAGGAGATGGCGACTGCGGAAATCCATGCATGAGTCTGTTGTGTGATTGTGTGTGTTCTGTGTGAGTGGTGCAGAATGCCCAGTACTTCGGTTCGATCAGTTTGGGCTCGAACGAGCAGGAGTTCACGATGATATTCGACACGGGGAGCAGCAACGTCTGGGTGCCCTCGGCACTCTGCGACAGATCCTGCGGCAGGTGAGTGAGCGAGTGGGTGGGTCACTGACACACGCACACACAGATGCCTCTAAGTCATGTGCTATGCATCCCTTCTTCAGTCACTCCAAGTACGACCACAAGAGTTCGTCATCGTACGCCAAGGACGGCCGCAACTTCCATATCGTGTACGGGTCGGGACCTGTGTCAGGTCAGTTGGCATATCGGCAGGGCTGCCTGCACCCGTGGGCGTACGTGTCTTCGTGTGTGTGGGTGTGTGGATGCGTGTGTGTGTGTAGGGTTCCTTTCCAGCGACGCGCTCAACGTGGGCGACATCCAACTCAAGGAATACACATTCGCAGAGTGAGCCACACACCGACAGATCCACGACGCATCCATCCATCCATCCATCCATGTGTGTGTGTGTGTGTGTGTGTGTGTCTTTCGCGATGTATGATCAGGGTGACCGACGCGTCCGGTCTGGGCCTGGCCTATTCGATCGGCAAGTTCGACGGCATCCTCGGCCTGGGCTTCCCCTCCATCTCCGTCGACGGCATCGAGCCGCCATTCGTCACCATGGTCAAAAGGGGACTCGTCAAGGAACCTGGTGGGCACACAAGAACCGCGTATAAGTCCTTTCCTGATCGCGATCGCCATGCATTCCTGTGGGTGTCTGTCAGTCTTCGCCTTCTACCTGGGCACTGCCAACGGCATGGACGGCGAGCTCGTGCTGGGCGGCATTGACCCCAAGCACTACACAGGCGAGATCCACTACGTCCCCCTGGCGGCCGAAAACTACTGGGTACATCTAGAACATTGTCGTACGAACATCTGTGTGGCATTCATGGCGATCATTGATATGTGCAGACGGTACGGCTCGAGTCATTGCTCGTCGGCAGCGATTCCATCAACGCCGGCCACGTGGCGATTGTCGGTAGGTGGACGGATGGATGGATGGAGGGAGGGAGGGACGGACTCTCGGTCATGTGTGTCCCCTCTGTATGTGTTGTGGTGTGATGCCAACGAATAGACTCCGGGACGTCGATAATGGCCGGCCCGAGCAAGCTGGTGGACGCCTTGGCCAAGAAGGTGGGCGCGCATCGGTTCTTCCTGAACCCCCAAGAGTGGGTGGTCAACTGCAAGAACATTCCTACCATGCCAAACATCAGCTTCGAACTCGGTGCGTATGGGTGTACACATGGGGGATGAGAAATGGACAAGAAAGAGAGACAACACACACAGACAGACAGACAGACATGCAGACAGAGATGGATTTATGTGTCATGTGTGCGCCCAATAGGCGGCAAGATGTTTGAGCTGACGCCGCAGGACTACACTCTCAAGCTGGGCGACTCGCCCTTCCTGCCCTGCCTGTTCGCATTTCAGGGCATCGACGTGAGCCTGACACACTGACGCACCGAATGACTAACTGGCTGGTTGGCTGGCCGCACGCTCATCCGTGTGTTTGTGTGTCTCTGTGTCTCTGTGTGTGTGTCATCAGCTGGGCAACGGCCCGCCTCTGTGGATTCTGGGTGACGTCTTCATGCGCAAGTATTATTCGATCTTCGACTATGGGAACAAGAGAATAGGACTGGCCAAGGCTGCCAGCGGTGGGCCGACCACAGAGAGCTGACTGACTGACTAAGGGACGGATGGGTGGCCGGCCAATTGATTCGGTCACTTTTTAGTCTGCCCATGGTTGCATTATGCGTGTCGTGTGCTGTGATGGAATTGTGTGTAATGTCGCGGAATGGTAACGAAAGAGTGGGCGGGCAGTTTGCATGGTTGATGATTGATGGGGTTTCACCCCCATCAGTCACTTTTTCGCGTTTCCTAAGTGTGTTTGCTAAGTGAGTGCCCAGGCCAATCTGTTTGTTTGTGCGTGTGTGTAGGGGGGGTGGGTGGGCGACGGGCGACGGCTGACGGCTGATGGCTGGCAATGCAGTGAAATGAAAGGAGTGGACAGGCAGATTAGGTGTGGAGGTGAGGTGTGGGGGTGTGGGCCACATGGGTGGCAGATTGAGGCCTCGAAGACTCGCTGGCCTCTCAGGTGGACGTCTGTGGGTGTGCATGGGTTGACTTATATGAAGAGTCCATCCGTGAAGGGTCTGTTGTGCATCTGCGTGTCAGCTTGCTTTGATCAGCTGACTGGACACATGTGAGAAATCGCGTCAGTTGCTGATGAGTGAGACACATCATCACAGCCACAGACACACAGCACCCGATTCACACACGATGAACCAGACGGCCCTCCGTCACATGTTCCCCGTCCTCTGTGGTGTGGGAGAGATTCGAAACGAAGTAAGAGACAATTCACCACTCGACACCATCCTCTTCAAATTGCATTGCCTCCGATCACATCCAATGTCATGAACATCCAGACAGGCAACAATCTTGTTGATGCGCACACACTGATAGAGCAAGACACACATCTGCGCCGCCCCTTGGCTTTGTCAGTCAGCCCAAAAATCGAGACATGACACGTCAGTGACCCCACAGCGGCTGTGTGGATGTCACCGTCACAGTATGTGTCAGTGTCTCCACGCGCAGCATCCATCAAGCACGCCCTCCCTCTCTCGCACATTTGCTCCACAAGATCATTCCAGCCAGTCACTTGAGAAATTGGACATCTCGAGAATCGCCTAAATCACCGATAGCACGCTAACATACCAGAAACTTTATGTCCGACCCACTCATAGGGGGTCTCCTATATCTAGTACGGTCCAGTGGTTGGGGCAGAAGTCTTGCGTCGTCCCAATTCGTTCGTATCTGCTTTCATCCACAGCACTCAAGAGAAAAAGCACAAAGTATGGCCCTGAACGTATAATGAATATGCCGCCGGCGGTTGCCATCCCGGCTATATGCATTTTCATAACACCGGGCTCCGCCATGCTTCTAAGGAGGGGCAAATTGGCGGACCGGACCAGCCAAACGAAAAGTACGCCCTCAAAGACCACCTCGATAAGCACTATGATCAGCAGACCGGCAACTCGTTCAAGCAGCTGCCGAACCGATGGAGACAGCACCTGGTCGCGGGTGATGATGCACAGGTTTGTGAGAATGAGAACCGTGAGTTCCACCAAGCCGTAAGCGTGCATCTGCTGCATTTATCGTCCATCGACGGAAATCAGCCAGAACAGGGGGGAGACGTGGGATTTGAATGTATGAAGGAAATTCACATGCTCCTCCCTTACGTCGCTGAGTCTTCTGAGGAATATCGGGTGAAGCTTGAATTGGACAACTCGTGTGGGGACATCGAGAAACGAGCTCAAGGACCTCAGCAATTGGCGGCTGAAAAGAGTGCTGGCGCTTGTACGACTTCTCGTGTAGAAGCTCATTACAGTAGTGGACAGACGGCTGAGCAGTACAGCCGGCGGCTGCTTTATGACGTTCGGTCTTTCTGTGTGGTCGGTGCCATCGCCAGTAACGGTATCGAGCATCTCGTTTGAGTGCTGATGCCGGACTTTCCTCCGTGCTTTGAATGAGACGAGGCATTGCATTAAAGCTCTCTTAGCTATGCCGCCAACAACCACCACTACACACATAGACAGACAGACAGACAGACAGAAAGCATGGATCGGGCCATTATCGCTAATCGTTCTCATGTACGTATACTGTGTGCTCACAATATGGAATTGCCAAGTCTGTCAATAAGTCGAACGAGGCGAGGATTAGCGAAGTCAAAACCTGAGAGAACACGTGGACACACACCGAGGGTTAAAAAAAGAAAAGAAAATGACCGAAGCGTGCGGTTTGCATGCATCTTTTACCTGAGATGACAGATGCTGCGTCTTGGCCTGCATCATTCTTGGGAAGAAACTGAACACAACCACCCCGAACGAGATTGCTGGACCCGATTGCAGCGCAGGACCGTCGCGCAATGAGCGGACTAACGCCGTCACTACAAGACGCACAATTCGAAGGCACAGGATGAGGCTACGATAAGACTATGCTGCCTAACGGAGTGCAAGAAGAGGCGACATTGCGAACAACCAACTGATGACGACAATTTTTTTCTTTCCGCGATCTCTCGCTATGTCTCGGAAAAGAGGGAAGAAAAAAAGACGACCGCAGTATGAAAAAGCCATACTGAAGAAAAAGATGAGCGTCATTTGGAGGACATAAAGCCGCTTCCTCACGACTGTCGTCGATGTCAGGGCCACTTGGCGAAAGACCCTGCATGCAACACAAGAAAATATGACATGAGCTGCCACTTTTCTGTAGACCATCCTTCATATGTTCCCTTTCTTACATGACTGGCAGGACAATCCCTGCGGACACATAGGAACAACCTGTGATTATAAGGCGGTAAGGCCACAAGGCCTCCACATTGAAGAACACCGCCCCCGCACCGACGTGTAGGATGAATGAAGGAGCGAAGAAAGGCCATGTCGTCTTCAAGCGATAGAGGGCCCCACGAAAGCTGCCCTCAGCCGCAAACAGCATCATAGCGGCAAAGCATAGGTCAACAACAATGCGGCGAGATACATCAAGCACAATCCACGGTCCTCTCGCACAAAACCAGAAGTACCCGACCCAAACCAGAGCCCAGGGAAACGCGATAGTTGCCGCAGCGGCCACTTGGAAGGCGAGCACCTTTGCCGTCCGCCTCACTGTCTTCCAAAAGGGCTCCAAGGTGAAGACAGCACCAACAAAAGAATCTCCCTCATAGCGTAAGTGAGTCTCAAACTCCTGAAAGGAGGCTGCAGGTCCCGCACAGAGTCGAAACTCAGCTACTATGGCCGCCAGCTCGGTCTCCTCCCTCCGCATTGGCTGCCCGTGTTCTTTTCCGCCCTCATTGTCCTCAGCCCCCTTCTCTGAACAGGTCTCCACGGCAGCAGTCGCGCCCGTGCTCTCGTCGCTGAGCGCAATTGGTTGAGAGGCGCAATTTGGAGAGGCGGTGTGTTCTGTATCAACGATGACTTCATCGATGGTGGATTCACAGACCGGCTCCATTGCTGTCTGCCAGTGACAGCCTGAGTGGTTCAGTTTTGTTCGTGGGGGCACGGTGGGGGCCGTCTCCGACTCGAAGTCCGCTCTGAGCGACGATGAAGGTGCTTGACCCATGGCAATGTGTGTCCCTGAAGACGGGCGAAGCAGCCAAGAAATGCGAAAATGTCTACCTCGCGGGCAGGCAGGGACACGTGCTCAGCGAGGACTTCAAGAAGTTCCCAAATGTCGCCGTCCTTTGGCTGTCGGACAACCAACTTACCCACCTCAACAACCTGGATGGCAACTTCAGAGTCAAAGAGGTACGCCAGTACCACTGCCACTCATTCACACACACCCAATGGTGTTACGTGTCCGACTCTGCTGTGTGTGCAGGTCTATGTGGAGAACAACCGACTCGTAACTCTTCAGAATTCTTCTCTGCGTCGCTTCAAGTGAGGAAGACGAGGACGTATACAGTGCAGAATTCGATTTCTCTTCTTCTTTTCAGGTTTCTGGAGGTGTTCTCAGCGTCGAACAACTGCCTCCGCAACCTTGAGCGGCTCCTATCTGTGCTGAAGGCCTTTCGGTTCCTCAAGAAGCTTGACCTCTTTGGAAATCCTGTGGCGGAGGAGCCCGACTACAGGCTTAGAGTCATCTACCATCTGCCTCAATTGCAGGTCCTCGACAGACATGAGGTCACGGCCATCGAGCGAATCAGAGCTGCGCAGATCGTGCCGTTCCTTGACTCAGCCAAGAAGACAGCAGCGCCTTCAGCACCACTGCAGCCGACCACTCGCGCAACGGTTCCCCCGCCTCCATCACATCAAAGCCGCCCGCCAGTCTACAGGCGCCTTTCAGCCTATGGCTTCTCGAAGATGTCCACTATTGAGAGGGAGTGCTTTCAGGAAGCCAAGAAGATTCACGATAAGTGGCGGGCACTGGAGGAAAAGCGACTCAAGAAGACGGTGGGCATGGCGGACACACTCAGCGAGCTCGGCGAAGCAGAGACTCCTGAAGAGCGGAGTGCACCTGTCAATCGCGTTGTGGAAGAGAAAAGGGCAAAGGCGTCCATCACTTGTGACAAGCTCCTATCCATTTGGGAGCAGGTGGAAGTGAGGGCTTGGATGAAGGAGCAATGGAGGGACAAGAGTGAGGTCACGGTGGATGACGTCAAGGCACTGGCCGCCGAGCTGGGGACCGACCCGTTGTGCAGGGGTAAGGCGCCTGATGCGAGTGCCGCCGTGTCCGTGTCGGTTGACGCGGAAAGGGAGGGTGAGGAAGACACGACGATTGATGCAGCCGAGGTGAGTATTCACTAATGGATGACACCGAGACGGATACGTACTGAGGCATCTCGCATGTGTCTCCAGGTGATTGACCACATTCTTGCTGTTCCGTGGCGGCCTCTGAAGCCTAGAGTCCTGAAGAAGCGCATTGCAGCTCTGTACAAAGTCAGGAGAACAGACGAGAGCAACAAGACATCATTGGACGTCGTGTCTTTAACGTCTCCTGTGTCGCAGGAAGTTGACAGGGCCCAACAGACGGGCGAGATGGAGGAGGCTCAGCAGATTGCACAGAAGGTCAGCCATCCAATCACGCGAGCCACGAACTCGCAAGACAGTAGCAGAGACACGGCACCTTCTTTCATGACGGCCTGCCTATCCCTGTCTTATTGTCAGGCCCTCCGTCTTGATGGCATGCTAACATCCCTCTCTGAGCCAACACAGGCAGCAGCAGCAGCAGCAGCCACATCCCACCATCCGAGAAAGGCGTCCCTACTTGGGTCGCATCTCGCAGTGACAACCATCCGCGCACCCCCATCAAAGACATACAAGTCGGCCAGCGGCGTTGTCATCAAGCCGCATGGCACCGCGCTTGACTGGCGGCCCCCCTCCAGCCAGCAAGAAGAGCAGCCGGAAAAGGGCCCACCGGAACGTGAGACCACGCTTTCTGCAGTGCCCATCGGTGTGAACCAGCTCACTGCCACAGCTGGGAGGCGGTTCTCTGTCGACGCGAAGGCGGTGTCTCTTCAGGGCATCAAAAGGGGTCCGGTGACTGTGCCTGAAGGAGTGAGGAAGGGCGGGGGTGGGGGGGACGTGTTGATTCAGCACGCTGTTAAGAAGATGCCGTTGAGCGCCCCTGATGACGTGCAGGGGTTCCTGAGAGCTGAGACGGCTCTTGCTGTCACGCAGCTGAAGCTCTGATGTATGATGGTTGCTACGGACGAATGGATGGGGATTGATTGCTTGTGCTGGCTTGCGGATATAGCGGCAGGGACACATTCATACGTATTCGTGCATGGATGGGTGTACGGAATGCATGTACATGCACATGCATACGCACGCTTCTTTGGTCAGATCCCTGTCTAATCGATCACCCGAAGGGCGTACCCGTGTCTCGTACCGAGTCTCCCCCCAGCCTTGTTGTTGACCAGTCCATCCACAACAAGCAGTGATCTGTGTCCGCCAGCCATCTCTTCTACCTCACCGCTCATGCGCTGCGTAGCCTAGAGCCTCGCCTTCCACGTGGAACATCCACATGCAACGAGGCCCGCTCGCAGAACAACATGACAGGGGAGGCAGGAAATGCGACAGACACATACACTGCCAGCACGTCTAGACACACAGACTGATCTGTCATTAACCAACGAGAAAGTTCATGCACGTAAAGAGCGACAGAGTAGAGACATGTTGTAGAAAATGGAGACACTGACGCATGAAATGGAGATCGCCCAAACCACGGACCCCTCTCTCAACCCAGCTGATCAAAACAAGGCAGATGCAGATGCAGCTGCACTCGCACTGCCCCCCTGCTGCTACGGGCTGGTCCACGTAAGCACCTCTATCTGATCCGCCTGCATGGCACCACACGACACGAACACAACACGACAGATGGATGGGGGCGATCGACAGTGCCTGCGTGCCTGCGTGTGTCCGTGTCTGTCTCTCACCACAAAGTCGAATGTGCCCTGGTCGCTGTCCCACTCCGACGTGACCAGCGGCACGTATCTGCCGGACTTGCTCTTGGGCTGGTTGGGCGGCCATCCACGCGGCCGCCACATGTTGTCCATCCCCACATGCACCGTGCATAGAGACTCGCTTATCGGCCCTACCCCTGAGCCGCTAGGACTCCCACCACCGTCAGCAGCAGCAGCAGCAGCAGCAGAGGCCGACCCCACGTTATCCATCGCTGCTGATGGCTGCTCTGTCTTGAGCGCTTGTCGTGGGCGGAGAGGGCCGGTGCCCCAGTCGCCTTCTTCGTCTGAGTCCACACTCTCGGATCCCGTCGGGGTGGGAAGGGGCGGGGTCCGAGAGGGTGGTGGGGGAGCAGGGATGTCCCCTGGCCCTTGATCGGGCCCTGCCACACGCCGCTTGACGGATGGGACACGACGCCTGTCCATGGCGTCCATCAGCAGCGGCAGCGACATGGGCACCTCCGGGTCGCGACGCTCCGATGGCACCTGCTCCTTCTTGGCCGCTGCCGCGACCATCAATGCCGCGGCCCGACCCTTATCGTCCTCGTCGTCGTCTCCCGTTGCCTCACCGTCCATGCACCAGTCATTCTCGTCAGACGAGAGCGCAACGCACGGCTGGACCGCTGCGGCCGCCGCCGCAGCAGCCGGGCCCGCCGACCGCGACTCCTCCCCCTCATCCTTGGCTGCCTGTGCTGGTGTGGCCTGCTCGTCGCGCTGTTGTGGGGCTGACGTGCCGGATGTCAGCAGTGGCATCTGCATTGACTTCTTGGACCGTCGAACGGCGCTCGACATGGGGCGCATGCGACGGGCGGTGGTTGGTGATGGTCTGGCGGATTTGGCAGTGGCTTGTTGAGGTGAGGCTGGGAGTGGAGGAGGGGCCATCTTTACGACGCCCAGCTGGAGATGCGAGCTGAAAAGGCTAATGCGGCACCGCTGCGAGAAGGTGCAGTCCTCCAAACTCATCTCCTTCTGCGCATCTCCAGGACCTGAACAAACGAATCAATCAATGAGTGAAGGAGACGGACACACACTTGCAACGTACAGACATACATATCCATCCATGAGCGCAAGCCCACCTGCTGTGTAGACCTTCTCCCCAGCTGCCCCTGGGCCGTGTTGGACCCTGCCCGTCCAGCGGGCATGTGGGAACCCCCGCAGTCTCATCAGCCACTGCCGGAGCCTGATGCCCTCCTGACCAGGCTCCAGTCTTCCTTCGATGTAGAGGCAGATGATCTCGCCTGTCCCTGCTGCGCGGATCAGCAGGAGCAGTGGGCACATTTCGGGCAGCCCACGCAGCGCCTCAAAGAAGTGGTCGTAGTTCCAACCATCACGTGTTGCCCTTGAACAGGAAGACACACATCAGTCACGATGGCATCGTGAGGTCATATCAGACTAGTATCAGGGCGGGCACACCTGTACACGCAGCGGAATGAGGGATGTCCGACAGCCGGGGGCAGCTCGAACCTCGGAGTCACATAGTCGTGCTCGTGAATCCACTCACGCAGCGCCGGCAGATCCTCATTAGTCAGCAGATGGAAGTGGTCTCTGCATACATGAAATACAGCAGCAGCAGCAGCAGCACACATAGTACACACATTTCTATGTCAGTCTCTGTTTCGGTCACTTACATGCCATACATCTCCAGGCACTGCAGAAACACACGCCGCTCCCCCGCGGGAACGCCCTTCCACCCGACGTCAGGCATGCTGTCCCACGTCGTCTCGATGACCGCATCGCCAGGGCCTGAGGAGGCCCGCTCGCACCCAGAGGTGCATGTGCCAGGCAGTGGCGGCAGCCTGGCCAGCAGCTTCTCGAGCCTCTTGCGGCGCGCGACATCGATGACACGCAGGAAGTGGTCTAGCTTGACGTTACACACGCGACTCTGCCACCTAGCCAGACACACAAGACAGGAAATCGACCAGCTGGCCCTCACTGACTTGTGTGTTCGGCTGGTTCTTACCCATTCAAAAACCTCCCACAGAGCACCGAATGCTCCCCCAGCTCCCTCACTGTCGAAACTGTGGTGGCCACACTCTGCTGCCCGACCACATCGACCGACACGACGTCGTCCCCATCACGATCTGCCCCACCGCTGCCGTCTCTCAGGAATGTCTGCACTCTTCGCAGCTGCATTCTCTGCCTCTCCTGCATGTCACACACCTCCTGCAACCGCCTCGCGTCACTCAGCAAAGTCGCTATGAGGGCCTCCAGCGGCTGTGTGGCGCTCCTGCTGTGCTTGTTGCTCCCCTCTGGCTCGGTGGTGTTGGGCGGCGACGGGGGTGGGCTGGCAGTCGTTGTGTGTGTGTCTGCGGGCTTGATGTCGCGCTTGAGGAGCCGCCTGACGTGGAAGTGGAAACAGGGGTCTTCCTCGAAGTGTGGAGGGAGGAGGAAGGCGTCCTCGTGCTGGGCGGTGGGGTGGCGTGCTGCCTGGCGCTCGAGCCACACAAAGGCCGGCGGATGGATATCTGAATGGGTCACACACACACACACAGGGTGCTTTGGCGAATGGCTGTCTGAGTTAAGGTATCTCACCGAGGAACAGCCGTCCACTGCTGTCTTTGACGAACGGCTTGTCCCATCGGCCAGAGAACAATTCAGCAACGACAGTGCCGCTCAGGGCAGGAATGGCAAACAGGGACCGCTTCACAGTGCGATGCAGCCTAATAGAACACACGCACACACACACACACATTCTCCTGTGGCACACTCATGTTCTTTCGCTCTACCCGCCGACGTTGAGTTGAATGTATGTGCTGAAGTCACGGGGCTGCGGCTCGCCTCCCATAGCCACTATCAACGCCGTGTGCTCCTCTGCCAGCCGCCTCAACTCCTGAAAGACCCACAACAAGATCCATGCCACCGTTCACAACCGTCACTTCGCTTCGCGGCTAAAGCGTATGATTTACCTGGACAACACGGTCACTCGTTGCACTCAGGGAGTTGCATGCCGCCATGGCCTCTTCAAGCCTCGCATCCAGTGGCGAGCCCGTTCTCGGGATGTCCGCCGCAGTCATGTCTTGGTCCGTGTCGTCGTTACTCATCTCGCGGTAGGAGCGCTTCAAAGGAGCTGCAGAGGCGATTTCAATGCTCATCGAAGCCCATTTGCCGGCTGCACATTCAGATCGCCCTTCTACTTCTGAGCTCGCAATTGTTGTTTTCGGCGAAGGCGTGCGCTTCCATGCATCATGGCGAGGCCGCCGCTGCACCTGATGGTTGTGCTGCAAATCAGATTTCTTGCCGCCCTGTGCGCTTGTGGGAGAGTCGCAGCGACGGATCTACCATCGGCACCTTCTCGTCGTGGAAGTGCATTCATCACCAGCTCGTCTCGACTCATCGGCGGGAGACCAGAGGCACTGAGGACGTCTGATCTCTCTCTGAGGAGGAGGGTGGGAGCAGAGCATTCGATGTCCTTTCTAGCGAGCCTGCGGAAGGGGAGAAGGCCACTGCAGACACTGCTGGGCTCTGCTGCTGAAGATGGCTTAGACAGCGATGCACAAGAGGCCCGACGTGCGTACTATGACCGGCTGGAGAACCTGCCGCTGCCCAAGGGCTTCTACCTGGGTGTGGCCAAGGACATCATCTTCTTCCCTCAGGAGCTGCCCCTGGAGAGCTCGAAGCCCTACAAGCTCAACATGGCGCTACTCACTACCGAGAAGCCCTCCGAGAACTTCGCCGCCGTCTTCACCAAAAACCGCTTCTGCGGCCATCCCGTGACGCTCGGCAGACAGCGGCTGGCCGAGTCAACGAAAATGGGCGGTCTGCTGGTCAACAACCGGATATCCAACGCGGCCAACAAGCACGGCATGGACAAGGCAGAGACCTTGTGTGTGGACGTGGCTAACGGGCTGGGCCCTGACTGGTCGGCTGAGAACATCGCAGTGTCGTCGACGGGGATCATAGGTTGGGAGCTGCCGATGAAGGAGATGGCCAGCGCCATCCCGCAGCTGATCGAGTCACGGTTCCAGGTGGAGAAGGAGAAGGACATCGGCAGTCATTCGGTGGCGGACTTTGCGAGGGCCATCATGACGACCGACGCCTACCCCAAGGCGTTCGGCATCACCCTCAAGAACGGCGCCAAGGTGGTGGGCGTGGCCAAGGGGGCCGGCATGATCGAACCCAACATGGCCACGATGCTCGTCTTCATCCTCACGGACATGGCCGTGCCGCGTGCTACGCTGCAGAAGACGCTGGACAAAGTGGTGGCTGAGACCTTCAACTGTATCAGCATCGATGCCGACGAGTCGACCTCCGATACTGTTTGGCTGCTGTCGTCGAATCGTGTGCCGCTGGGAGGCGGTGATGGTGACAGTGACCCCGATGCGCAGCTGCTTGAGTTCCAGGAGGCGCTTTTTGAGGTGTCGCGGCAGCTCAGCAAGGAGATCGTCCGCAATGGAGAAGGTCAGCCAGTCGGTGACAGAGGGATAGACGATGCTTTCCGTGTGCACATGTGAGTGTGTGTTCATCTCTGTGTGTGGGGAGGCAGGTGTGAAGCATGTGATCGAGTGCAATGTGAGCAGGGCGCCCAGTTTCGCCATCGCCAAGGCGCTGGCCAAGAGCGTCATCAACTCGCCCCTACTCAAATCAGCTATCGCAGGCACGCACCCACATGCTTGCACATCCATTGTCACGTCTTTCTGGGTCGCTCTTTCCCTGCCTGCCCTCAGGCAACGATCCGAACATTGGCCGCCTGGCGTGCGCATTGGGCAGTGCGCTTGGGCGGGTGGGGGAGGGCCTGACCGACGAGCAGCTCAGGAAGACCAAGATCTTCATGGACCGAGTACTTAAGACGAGCCACTAATGGACGCGTGTGCCCATCCATGCCATGTGTGGCCTGCCTGTCTTTGTGTGTAGGATTCAGTGTACTCCAACGGTGCCTTCAATCTGACCCCCGAGTTGGAGCGGAAGCTGACTGAGTACATGAGGTCGGCGGAGCTCTTCATCGGCGGCAAGAAGCCGGACTTCCCCAGCCACGACCGGTCGGTGCGCATCGACGTCGACATGGACCTGGGCCAGTCGTCATGCAGAGTGTATGGGGCCGACCTCACTGTCGAATACGTCATTGAGAACAGCCAGTATAGGTCGTGATGAGCATGCTGTGAGGACCCCGTCTTTATTATTTGTCGTAGGTAGGTAGCAAGGAAGGTAGGTAGGTGCGTTATGTGATGGGAGCTGAATAAGCTCCGTCTGTGATCTTTTTCCGAGTGCTTGCACGAGACAAATACTGACTGCGTGAAGCCACCTATCCAACATCGCACGTCTCACCACTGCCAGCCACACACACAAATATCACATCGAAATCGCCTTATGCGGACACACACACACACACACACACACACACATATAGACACTAGACGCCAGCGAGCGACACACGCTTGGTTGAGCCTTTCCTCGGGGGGGCCGTGTGCAGCAGCTCCTCGTGGATGCAATCCTGAATCTGCTCACACACACACACACACACACACGTGTCATGATGAAACATGCTGTGCTCCCACCTTTTGTCTGAGCTCGTGCTTGGCCTTCCAGGTGGCCTCCTCGAGCGCTGTGACGGTCTTGTCCACGCCCTCAACATACGCCACAATGTCATCCAGCGCCTGATGCACATCGGCTGTCTGTGCGGTGGGGAGAGGGGAGCCAGTGAGGGCCGCAATCTCATCCTCGTGCTGAAATGGGACACACACACACACACACGCGCGCGCACAGAGAGAGAGAGAGAGAGAGATTGTACAAGGAGAGATTATGGATGTCTGCCTCATGTCTCCTCCATCTGTCCCGGTCAGCTGTGCGTACGTCTGCTCTCCTCGCAATCAACGCCTGTGACTGCACAACCTCGGGCAGATGGCGATTGTGGAAATAAAACGACTGCACACACCCCGACAAACCGTATATCCCTGCTTGTGTCTGTCCTTCAGTATGTTCATGCAAGCCGACAGACATACGGTGGGTATCCGCGGCGAGAGGACATAGATGCGGTCGAGGTGCGACAGCCGCGTGTCGTACGGCGGGTTGAGGAACACATACGGAGACCGGTTCTGACGGGGCGAGAAGCGACCGTTGGCCCCGCAGTAGGCACCGAGCGCTATCTGATTGAGACATGCAAGGAAGGAGAATGGAAGGGAGGGTTATCGGAGGCGCGCATGACTGACTGGCTCACCATGTGGTGTTCGGTGGCGAGCCAGTGGAAGAGCTGTCCGAAAGTTGGGTTCTGAAGCTCCTCGGGCATCGGCACCAGGTACAAGCGGGACTGGAGCAATCCGGAGGACTGGCAGATGGCGTTCACAATCGGATCACTCTCAGTCTCTTCCTGCCAAGGTGAGACGATGGAGACTGGGGATTTGCTTGCATTTCTCACTCACAAAGATGAGTTGTCGTATGATGGACAGCCTGTGTGGGTGCCATAGGGCCTGCACCGTCAGCGACTCCCCCAAGCCAGCCAGCAACACCTCTCCGGCTGCGACGAGGTGCGAGCGCGTGGGTGGCACATCAACAGCAGCCATCGATCTCTTGGCCAGCCGCTGGGCAGCCAGCTGGGCCGGCGACGTGCTGGGCATGAGAGCCTTGAGCTGGTCTCCCTCCGCCCCTGCCGCATTCATCCGTCGTCGCAGGGCGTCGATCGTTGACGCCTCGAGGAACTCGACATTGTCTGCGACCATCATCATGCAATAGACGGGCATGTCGGGCCGGGCGCCCTTGATGCACTTGTACTGGAACACCGTGTCGATGTCCAGCAGCCAGTCAGAAACGCTCTCGCGGCCTCTCAGTGTTGAGTCTGCGGACTCGGTGCCTATCGATGTGGCGTCTGCGGGGCACGACAGCACGATGGCCATGGATGCGTCGTGAATCCCCGCCCTCTCCTGCACGGCCGGTGCCACCACACAACGACGATCCACATATGAAGGAGGCGTGCCTCCCTCTCTCACTCACCAGATCGGCTCTGTTGAGCGGATTGCCTTCCGTCCAGTAGACCAGGGGGAACTTCTGCAGGAGATGTGCACATCTACCGGGAGCGGGGGGCTCTCTCACCAGGAAGACGATAGGTATGACGGACGCGGCGCTCTTGGACCGCAGCGGGAGAATCAGATGCAACAGGTTCTCCTGATGGACCAGTGAAACACACACACGAAGTGATCGATGCATGAAGTCGTCCATCTGTATCCCGCAGCGACTCACTGGGAGCGCTTTGCTGGAGACGATGATGTGCTCCTGAATGTCCATTGTGGCCGCGTCGCCTTGCAGCTTCACGTCAGCCAAAGGACACGCCTCCTGTGCAACGATACACACACACGTGTTAATACGCACACACACAAAGCACACGTGGGAGTGTAATTGCTCACTTTTAGTATCCAATACTCTTCGAACAGCGCGTCGAGGTCCTCGTAGGGATTGGGCTGCACACGACCATCCTATCCATCCGTGAGGAAAGAAAAAACACAGAAAGTGGCACTCCATCGCTGGAGAATGGATAGTCAGGAGGTCTGCATCTACCATCTGGCCCGTGTCTTGGGGGAGCAGTCTGATGTCGCCCTCAGGTCTGCCCTGTCGGTGCTGCCTGCCTTGCGACGGCCGCTTGCGACGCCGCTTGCCGGTCACTGCCAGAAACCCACCGTCCTGCACAGGCATACAGACAGACAGACAGACAGAGAGAAAGAGGAAGGCTCTCCCTCCCTCGATGCGCGTGGGTGGGTGTGCAGACAAGTCTGTCTCGTTGATTCACTCACTCACTCACCTCAGCGAGCTCTTCGATGAGAGCGGCTTGCTCGGCGTCCTCGGCAATCACGTAAGCCGACACAAGGTTGTCATCGAATGAAGGCAGGCTGCACGAAGGAAGGACCGAAGAAAGGAAGAAGCAATGGATGAGACGAGACAGAAGCTCTGCTCACTCAATCACGACTTACGTGTACGTGGACGGGTTGAGTCTGAGCACAGATGTGTTGGCCACATCGACCTCCAGTGCAAACAGGATGGCACCGGTCGAATTGAACACTTTGTTGGCCACCTGACAGAAAGTCTGGCCCGCAAAGTGAGCCGGCAGGGGTGTCTTGAAGATCTGCAGCAAGCACCAGACACATACACAAACGACCAACCATCAGACGCTCCACCCCTGACGAGTCAGTCAGTCAGTCGGTCTGTCAGCGTGTGAGACCTGCCTTCATGGCCCGGCTGATGTTGAAGTCCTCTTCCCACGGGGTGGCCTTGTCGAAGGCGGCCGACTCCTCCTGCCGGGGATGGGTGAAGAGGTTATAGACGAGCGTGCTGATGCCTGGGCAGAGACACGACATCCCCAGCAGTGCCATACAGAACTTCTGGATCGGCACCGGCTGATCAATCGACTGGGCGGAGTCAGAGTCGAAGTAGTGGAAATCTATCGCCGCCCGATTGAGCTGCAGCACGACCTTGTGGTCGGCCGCCCCCACGCTCCTCGCCGTGTGCTTGACGACCAGCGCAGCAAACACATTCAAGCGGTCGTCATCGATACCCACGATGTCGATCGGGTTGGCCAGCACGATGGTGGCCGCGGCCCTGGCGACCTGGCAGCGGTTGATGAGGTCGCGTGAGTCGACGGATGAGCCCTGGAGATACGTGATGCTGCCGACGTAGTTGGGCTGGCGTAGGAAGGCCTCCATCGCTGGGCTGGGGGCGAGCGGCTGCAGAATGACCACATTGGGATCCTGAATGCCGAGTTGACAGGAAGGAAGCGTCAACCATTGTGCGTCACCCTCAATGAATGGGTCATGTCATGTACCTGAGCACCTGCTGGTCGCTCCGCGTGCAAAGAGAAAAGCAGGCCCTCCAGAGACCGGACGTCCACACAGCCTGGACAGACAAAGGAAAGACAGACACAGCATGGACGCCTGCTGAGGGGAGCGAGACCAGCGAGTGTCTTTCTCGTGCACCAGTGATGATGATGTGCGGTATCTCCAGCTGGCTCTTGTACGTCTTGCGCGCGTACACCGACTGCATGCCCATCAGCCTGAAGAGCTCGTTGGTCTGCACCGGGATGGAGATGAAGAAGAAGGCCAGAAGGGCACAGACTATAACCCGACCCGCCGGCGACTCGGGCACGATATCACCGTAGCCTGAATTCATGAGCTGACATGTATAGTAATGGCTGGAGTCGGTCGCACGAGACACTCACCGACAGTGGATATCGTTATGACGACAAAATACAGCATGGTGTGAAAATCGAAGGGCCCCTCGGTGTTCTTCTCCTCCAGCCGCTGCAGCAGCCCCGCGCCAAACAGAGCCAGACTGCACGACAACGACCCAGCCATCCATCTTTTTGGTGTCTGCCTCCACCCACATCCCTCCCTGGCCCACAGGTCTGACCTGAAGAGTGTGAGGAGTATCCTGAGTATCTGTTGTGTGACTTCGTTCTCTAGGTAGATGAATGCCCGCTGGATGCGGAGGATACGCAAGACGCGGAAGACAAAGAGTATGCTCAACTCGCCAACCGCCTCCTCGCCGTCGCCCAGCCTGAAGCGGCCTTCCTCGTAGAAGGACACAGCCATGTCCAGGATGAAGGGCACCAGCGTCAGAGCATCCACAATGGCCATGAAGCTCCGCACGAAGTGCAGCTTGTGGGGAGCCCCCCACAGCCGGATCACGTAGTCGGCGAAGAAGAAGATGCTGATGACGTCCTCGGCAAAGGGAATCCACGTTGCCTTCTCATCGTAGGTTGACCAGATGTAGAACATACTCGACAGCAGACTGTTGGCGACAGAGAAAAGAGACAGACATGCGACTACGTCAGTCAGCACACAAGTCGTGTGATGGATGCGTCTGCGTGCCCACCTGAAGATCACATTCAGCGAGTCAAAGGCCAGTCCGACGGAAGGCAAACGCAGGAACCTGTCGAAGGCCCTGTAGCTTCGTTCGATTCCACTACGGAGGCGTCTCAGTGCTCTTCTGTAGCGAGACGTCTTTGTCGCATCCTCCGGCGGCTCAGGCTCGGTCATTATACGGTTGATCAAGGAAGCCCTCCGCTCGGCCAGCGGGGCGCCAGGACTTCCCTGGCTCATCAACGTGCTGCACACACACAGACAGACAGACAGACAGACAGAAATGCCATCAAGTGGACACGTCAAGGCACGATGCGGCAGACATGCATTGCAGGGATGTTCGCACCTCCGGCGGTGTTCCATGCCTGTGGTCTTCATTCTGTCGGCCACTCCAGAGGGGCCAGGGGGCGAAGACGGGGCTAAGCTAGCAGACCAAGTGCAGCCTGGCTCTCCTGGCTCTCTCTAGAGCGGCAACCGCATCTCCCACACACCGCGAGAAACGCCGAGAACTCGCTTCTTTGCACTTGCGCGATCGTAGGCGTTACTAGCCCCCCAGCTCGCAGGTAAAAGGGCTGAGCGTTCGGGATTCGCGTGTGTCAGGGAATGCTCCCGCTCGCGGCGAGGGACGGCGAACAAGAGGTGGTCCCGTCGTCTGACAACTGAAGAAGCAAAGGCCTTGCTCGGCCTCGTGTGATTGAAACTGAGGGGGTCTGCAGCTGACTGAACAAACAGGACAGCCGGCCAGTCAGCTCTCCCCACCGCACCCCTTGACTCAATTTTTTTCGTCCCGTGACCTGACCCCCTCAAGGAAGAATGGCGAAGCCGACAGCGGCCATCCCCCGGCCTCACTCGGACTGGCAAATCCCCGACCGATACGAAATACGACACCTCATCGGCACGGGCTCATACGGTAGGCACACACTGACACGCGCCTCGGGGAAGGGGGGATGGTGCGGGGCTCCAGTGCTAGCTGGGTGGCTGACTGACTGACGCACTTGCCTCAGGCAGACAGGCAGGCCGCAGTGATAGGTTGCTGAGGGAGGGAGATGGGGGGGAAGCCCAGACAGAAAGCAGACAGCTGCTTGCAGTGCAGAGACGGGTGTACTGTATGGCCTCCACACGCTCAGCCGGTGTTGCTTCCTTGATTGGTTGGTTGGTTGATTGATTGATTGATTGGCTCGTTCAGGTCACGTGTGCGAGGCGTACGACCGTAAGGAGAAGCGCGTGGTGGCCATCAAGAAGATCCACCGGGTGTTCGAGGACCTGATCGACTGCAAGCGCATCCTCCGAGAGATCGCCATCCTCAACCGACTCAATCACGACCACATCGTCAAAGTCCTCGACATATGCGTCCCGCAAGACGTCCAGAAATTCGACGTACGCGACAGATTGGCACAGGGGGACGGACTGATGGGGGCTGGACTGTCTGTGTGGTGCCTGCCACTTGTTCTTGGTCAGGAGCTGTATCTGGTGCTGGAGATTGCCGATAGCGATTTCAAGAAGCTCTTCAGGTGGGTCAATCACTCAGCGAGCGAGCCAGGCAGCCAGGCAGCCAGGCAGGCGGTCGTGAGTGAGTGATTAATTGGTTGATTGATCCACGTCACTCACTATGTGCGCAGGACGCCGGTGTATCTGTCGGAGCTGCACATCAAGACGCTGCTGTACAACCTCATCGTGGGCGTCAAGTATGTCCACTCAGCAGGCATCTACCACAGGGACCTCGTACGCCACCCCAACACACACACACAGCGGCACTGCAGGACGAGAAGAAAGAGAAGCATAGCTGCCCTTTGTGTGCTTCTTGGTCTGTGTGCAGAAGCCCGCCAACTGTTTGGTGAACCAGGATTGCTCCGTCAAAGTCTGGTGAGACAACCGACGCATCGATCGACGCACCGACACACACGTGCAGAGAGGCCGTTCGTTTCACCTCTGATGTGACTGTGACTGATATATCCAGTGACTTCGGTCTGGCCCGCACGGTGGACAAGTCGGTCGACCCCAAACTGCCAAACTCACCACGGTATGGCACACACGAACGCACACACGCGCAGACAGAGGGAGCCATATACACACACCATCTGTGTGTGGTTTGGTCTGGTCTTGTGCTGGCTGCAGGGACGAGCAGGAGATGATGGGCGTGCCCCACACCAAGAACCTCAAGCGGCAACTCACCGGACACGTCGTCACACGGTTAGTCAGTCAACAAGACACACAATGTTCCACCGCACCGACTGCCTGGCCGACGGGCGTGGCTCGCTCATGCCGTTCTGCCGTGTTTGTTGTGATGCCCTCCCTGGGTGGTGGCTGACAGGTGGTACCGGGCGCCAGAATTGATTTTGCTCCAGGAGAACTACACGGACGCCATCGACGTGTGGTCCATCGGATGCATCTTCGCTGAGCTCCTCAACATGATGGTCACATACACTAACACAGACACCCAGAGAGAGAGGTTCCTGTAAGAGTGTGATTGGTTTGATGGATGGATGTATTGCAGAAGGAGAATGTGCCGTACCACTCGGACCGCGGCCCGCTGTTCCCCGGCTCCTCGTGCTTCCCCCTCTCCCCCGACCAGAAGCACGCTACTGACTACAAGTACTCACACACACACACACACACTCACAGACAGACAGACAGACAGAATCACACACTCGCGCCAGAGTACATCATGGCATGTGTGTGACACATAGGTTCCACACTCGGGGCAACCGTGACCAGCTCAACATGATCTTCAACATCATCGGCACGCCCGGCGACGAGGACATCGAGGCACTCGAGAAGGAAGACGCCAAGCGGTCAGTTGCATGGCCAACGGACACACACCATCAATCGATGTCTGCTGCCTGCTCCACTCTCACTCTCTCCGTGTCGTGCGTGTCTGTGTTGCTGCCTCTGTTCTCTGGTCAGCTACATCCGCATATTCCACCAGCGAGAGGGCATCAACATCGCCCACCGATTCCCGGCCGCTTCACGTAGCCAACACACACGCACAAACACATACACAGGTGTCTGGTGCATTCTATTGTCTCTTGCGCCGTGTGCAGCTGAGGCGGTGGATCTGTTGAAGCGCATGTTGGTGTTCAATCCATCCAAGCGGGTCGGCATCGACGAGGCACTCGCACACCCGCTCTTCAAAGACATAAGAAACCACAACGTCGAGGTGACACAGTCAATCAGCCCGCACAGACGCGACGCTACGATTGCCGTCACACACGTCCGTCCTTGTGTCTGTCCATATTGGTCCAGCAAATGACGGCGAAGGAGAAGGTGAAGCTGCCATTCGACGACTGGGAGAGCATGGACGAGCCACAGCTGCGGTACGTGCGCCGGCACACCACCACAGCACACCACACGCAAGACGAGGCGGCAAGCAAGGCGTGTCTGATGGTTGTGTGTGTGTGTGTGTTAGGTATGCGTTTCTGAAGGAGATCAACCGCTACCACCCGGAGGTGCAGATCCCCGATCCGCCCCCAAAGGGGAAGAGCAAGTGATGGATGGATGGACTGATGGACACACCACAGCCTACCAGCAGCCAGCAAGCCAGCCAGCCGTGTTTGTCCGTCCGTCCGCGCGTCTGCCGTGGCGTATCCGCCCATTCGTTCTCTACCCCATCCGTCTCACTCTTGCACTCACTCTCACTCTCTCGCCTGTCCACACTCTCACGATGCTCGTCTCATCTCATCTCATCTCATCTCTTGTCTGTCTGTCTGTCTGTCTGTCTGTCCGTCAATCGACTCGAGGGAAATGACTCACGCAAGTGGGCGGGCTGTGGGCTGCATGTGGGAGGGAGCCGGCCAGGAGAGAGAGAGAGAGAGAGAGAAGGAACGAGCTGATGGATGGTGCCTGTCGCTCTGTCTCGTCTGTCTGGTGATCCAACTCGATCTACCATGACGTACGGATGGACGACGGCATCGTCAGTCTGTCTGTCCACTTCTCCCGACCGCCCCGCCCCATCGATGGATCGATCTGCCTGCCTGCCGCCCATTTTTTGTCGCTGCCTGACTGAGCGAGTGGCGCCATTCTTACTTTTCGGTCTGTGGGTGGAAGGATGGATTGATGCGTTGATGGATGTCTGCCACTGCGTTCGTTGTGGATACACTCATACACACACACCGCCCGCCCGCCCGCCTGCCTGCTTGCCTGCTTGCCTGCCTGCCTGCTTGACTCTCTATTCCACAGCATCTAGCTGATGGGTGGCGTGTTGCGATTGGGTGGATGGAAGGGGACAAAGGACCCTCTGTCCCACCCACGCGCACCTCGACCTCGCCCTTCGCCTTTCCTTCGTACGTCTGTCGGTCTGTCTTGTCTGTCTGAGCGTCTGCCTTGTCTCTTTGCATAAATTTTCGGCCCTACTGTCTGTCTGTCTGTCTGTCTGAGTGTGTGTATTGTGCGATGTGGTGTGAAATACCTAGGTGGATGGATGGATGGATGGATGCGTGTCTTTTTCTGTTTTCCTGGATGTGTGTGTATGTGTGTATGTATGTGTATGTGTGTGAGTGTGAGTGGATGCCCCGACCCGCGTGGATATAATAGAGAGATAGATACATAGGTAGACAGATATAGCTATGACGGCTGAGTCGATCGATGTCTGTATGTCTGTCTGTATGTCTGTATGTGCGTTGTGGTGTGTGTGTGGACTGACGAGGGATGGATGGATGCATGGATGCCATACATATGCATGCGTGTGAGTGTGTGTGAGTCACGGTGGACGGACGGATATGACGGATATGGGCGGCTGACCGCACGAGTGATAAAGGAACCTCGACAAAGACGAGACGAGGAGGCCTGCCTCGATTCGATCGATGGATGACCTGTGGTAGATAGATAGATAGACGATGCCTGCCTGGGTGCGTGTGCTGTCTATACATGATATCTGTGGCCCATGACATATGTATGTGTGTATGTGTGTATGTGTATGTGTGTGCACAGGCGTATGGCCGGCCTGTCTGCATTGCTTTTGGAGCGAACACTCACTTTTACTGGCTCACCTGCTTGCTGCTTGAGAGGGAGGGAGGGAGGGAGGGAAAGGCGCACAGACAGACAGACAACTGGCCAGCCCGTCAGCACCCACATACCACAACCTGAGCTAACCTGACTCTCACGCCGTCACACCGCATACACACATACAGACATACTTTGTGTTAGCAAGCGTACCCAGCTGACTCCGCGGCTAGCTACCGAATTCGGCGCCACCCACCTGTCCATCCATCCATCCTTCCAGCCCGCAAGCCAGCAGAACACACACACAGGCAGACGTCGAGAGCTGGTTATATGTCTTTCTTTCTCTCCTCTCTCTTCTTTGCCTTGATGGTATTTTTCACGCTTGCCATTTTATGTATGTTCATTGGTCCGCATACACACACACACACACATATATATACACCGCCATATGCATGTCTTTCTGCCCCCCCTGCTTGCCTACTTGTTTGTGCGACCGATCCACCTGTTACACACACACACACGCACACACACACACACACAGATGCAGACAGACGGACAGGAAGAGAGAGAGGGAGGGAGGGAAGAGGGAGGGAGGGAGGTCGGCCGTCGCTCTCAAACTGTTTCCCACGGCTGATCTGTCTGTTGCTGGGCACGCTCGTCTGTTTTCTCTCGTTTGCTCTAATTCGCCACCACACGGCTCGGATCCTCTGCTTTTTGTTTCTTTCCTTGTTTCTTTCAACCTCTCTCTTGTCACTCGCTCTCCTTGTGTTCTGGGCGTGTCGGGTTGCGCTGGGGCCGGGGATGTCTCGCTCACTTTCTCAGTCTGCTGAGGGGAAGGCTAGGCTTCTGTCTATCAACTATTTCCCACTTTCTCGGTAATTCGCAGTCTCTTTCTTTCTCTGGTTTCACACACACCGGCCGGCGTCTTTTCTTGTTTTCTTTTTGATGCTCAATTGGTCCCCCCCGTGCTTGCTTCGCCTCCTGTAAAGTGTAATTCGCTCGGCCCCCCCC